CGCAGGACATGGGGCTGCTCCGGGAGCGCTCCCACAGCTCCTACCTGCAGCTGGCTGGCCCCGACAGCCAGAGCCTTTCCTCCACCTCCAGCATGAATTCCCTCCAGGACCAGAACCTGTACCGCCGCAGGGAGTCCATGGAGCGGATATCCAGGACGGGACGCATGTCTTCCACCCTTCCTCCTGGGCTGATGGACTGCTTGGACACGAGCGGAGATGAGAAGGTGCCAGGGCGCCAGGACAGCCTGGTCACCGGCCGGCCCAAAGCAGAGAGGTGCTGGGAGCACAGACCCAGATCGGATCTCACCAAAAGCACGCAGACAGACCTGCTGGGCATGCAGGGCCAGCCCCGCTACAGGAAGCAGGAGCAGGTCTTTGAAACCCCCTCCACCACCAGGAAATCTGGGAAATCGGTGTCTGTGGAAGACTTGCTGGATAGGTACGACAATCAGCCGGTCCCCGTGCACGTGCGCTCCAGGTCGTCTCCCACGGCGGATAAGAAACACCAGGTATGTGGGAACGGGGTCATGTGCACCCACAAGAGGGGATCTCACAACCAGGGAATGCGGGGGAATGTCAGAGAACAGGCTGATGTCCGGTCATGGCCAGGACTCCATTGATTAGAGACACATTCAGCACGTACTGAGGCAGTTTAGTGCACCTTAATTAAAAGATTGCTGGTGGGGTTCAGCTCTCTCCCTGCTGGGGGGTCAGGGGTGTCAGGGATGCTGGGATTCCAGTGCATGTGCTGCTCTGGACATCCTGTCTGAGCTGTCCTGTCTTTACCTGCCAGCAGCACCAGAGATGCACTGAGCACTTTTCTAGTGGCGTGTCCCACTGAGATGGTGATTTGCCTCAGCCCATTCTCCTGGTGCAACGTAGAGAGGATTAGAGGCTGCTTGGAATTGCCTTGGCTCCCACTGTGCCTGACAGTGCTGGCAAGTGCTGGGCAGAGGCACTGCCAAATAACCATTATGTTTAGCCTCCAGCCCTGGAGGGAAACATCACAGAGAAGACTGAACAGAGACCCTGGCCCTTCCCTGTCCCCTGCTTGGTGGTTGGGAACATCACACTGATGTCACAAATGGGGAATTCGACTGACTCTGAAGATGGTAAACAGTAGAACCAGGCTAAATTCTTAAAGAACAACTGCCCAGGCCAGCTCTTCAGCTGGATGAAATCTGTTCAGACCTATTTAGGAAACTGCAAACTGGTCGAGCCACATGGATTTGCAGCAGTGCTGGGTTTGCTGCCCCGTCTCTATTTCCATGCCAGGCTCTATTCATCATGGGGAGAGGCAGCAAACAACCAAAATGTGTGGACAGGCTCCTAGCCCCAAATAAGCTGAGTGTTTGGAGAGGCTCACATGCTTACAGGGCAGTGGAGACCCAGGAAATCTCTTTCTACTCCTGCACTCACTCTTGGCCCAGAGCAGATTATCCAGGAGCACCAAAATGGTCCCGAGTCAAGTGACAAGAGAGGAGGCTCTGGGCAGCATCTCACAAATGGCCCAAACCAGGGTAGGGGGATGAAGCTGCCCCCCCAAACTCATTGTGTGCTTCATTCTACACATCCTCCCTCAGCAGCCCTCAATCCCATGCCACATCTTTAAATAGAGTGAATTTAAAAAGCATCTTGTGAATATCAAGTGACCGGAATGCACTTCCAGAACCGCCCCTGTCTCATGCCACCATCAGTATTTTTCCACCCCAGCCAGGCACCAGCCCCATCTGTGCCATTTTGTCACACTTGATGATCAGAGCAGCGGGAAAACCAGACATCCAGAAAGAGAAAAATCACCAAAGTGTGCTTTGCAGTGACAGGTTGGATGACAAGCAGCCCCAATTCATTTTGCCTTGCCTAACTCTTATCAGGCAGGAGGTACAGGGCAGTACTTCAGATCATCTTCATTTTCCCCTCCTGGTTAATTTTTAATTGTTCATACACTCAGCTGCCCAACCAGAGGTTCTGCCTCTTGGACGCCAAGTTGAGGAAGAGGGTGAAGAACATTGCAGACCCGAACACAGGGTCCTAAATCAGGCAGTGAAGAGGGAAGAGCCCTTAGGGCTGTTTCCCAGAGGGATTTAGCTGTAACCACCTGTGGAACAAGGATTAGTCCCATAGGCAGCAAAGCACTTGTGAAAATCCTGGTCTTGAATCCTAACTTGACTTCCAGTGTATATATTCCAGTATATACACCAACCCATAGGGTCTGTTTGAAAGGGAAGTATATGTTGAAGTGCTTTCTTCATTAGGTTTGTTTTTATCCATCTCCAATGCAAACCCACAGCTATAAACATGGGGTAGAAAGCCAAACCAACAGAATGAGTTTTTTTTAATTATTTATTAGATTTCTTTTGGCCTTTTCAGATATTTTTGTGGGAAATGTTTATTTCCAGTTTAGCAGCAGACCTCTCTGCCTCACTCACTGTCCGTTTTTCAGGGCCTTGTGTACAGTGCTTAATGTTCCTTTCAGGCTGCATACAAATCACATTGCACTGTCACTGCAGGAATTTGTTTGGAGCTAGGCAGGAGTGGACGGCCATGGGGAATGAGTTGCTCTCAGGCTTTGGAAGGCATTCTCATCCATGTTTTGGCGTTTTGTTTTGCTTGCTGCCGGCGCTGTGTCGGTGCCCCAGGAGCTGCTGAGGAGGGAGAGCAGCGAGTTTGGTGCCATGGTGAGGGATCCCTGCTACGTGCTCGGCGCAGGAGCCAGGTGGGTGTGTGTCCCTGTCCCCGTGTCCCTGTCCCCAGCTCTGGCCATGCCCCTGCCTGCCCGCAGCATTGTCTAGAGCTCACACCTGCACAAACACGTTCCACGAGTGCTGTGCCCAGCAGACTGAAGAGGAGTTGCTACAAGCTTTTTCTTCCACCACCACGGACATTAATTTGCTATCAAGTCCTCTTTGTGTCATGGTGAGCATGTTTGTGCAGCAAATTCCCACTTTTGTAACTTCAGAGTGTGTTTGGTCTGCTGTTGAAACTCACAGTGTATGATAGCATTAACTGAAGGATCCCAAAGGAAACAGTACCTCCATGTCCCACTCTGGGTGGTTTTATCCACCAGGGATGCTGCCTCCCCAAAAGCAAGGGACTAAACCCAGGATATTTCCTTATTCATGCTCAGCTGGGAGATGGCCTTTGGGCTGCTTCCCTTCATCCAGGCAGGATGTTGTGCTCAGCAACAGGGGAGAGAGAAATGTTTTTAAAAACAGAAGAGCATAAGCACAAAACTCAATGTCTTAGGGCTTATGTAAGTCTCCACTTAGCCCCTGATTGTTTTGAAGTTAATGAGAACTGAAGTTGGTCGTGCTGTATTTACATTTAAATAATAAATAGATGTTTGCCCTAAGCCCTGAGTGCCCAAACAGCTAACTCCCATTACAGTAAAAGCCATCAAGAGGGACTAAAAGCATTGTTCACAAAGGAGCTCTGTTCCCCACAAACTTGCAGTAAATGCCAGCCCTCTCTGTGGTCACAGTGGGAGTTAACACTGCTGTGTCCAAAGGTTTCTTCATGCAGCTCTGGGTCAGGGAGTGACAGCTGGGAGCAGGGGAAGGTTCCCACTCTGGCTGATCCTACTTCTGGCCATTTTTGCCTCTAAGAACACATAAATGTTGTTTTAAAGGGACTCAATCTGCCTTCAGGCACATCCTTGTAGGATTATTTAAAACACACTTGTTTACTTTGATTTGGAATAACTTTTTCCATGTTTTTTCCAAAGAGAACAATGCAGCTGTTTCAGTTCCTCCTGCCCCCCTTCTCTCCTAGACATGGCATTTCATCCTGCTGCTCAATCACTGTTTGTGCCTTCCTTCTATTTTTTTTTTTCCTTTCCCCAACCTATTTTCCAAGTAATGGGATGGAACACCCAGACTGAAAACAAGTTTACTGGGGCACGAAATGCAGGTTTCTCATTTCCATGCTTCACTGCACAAAGATTACTTGTTATTAACAGTTTTATGATGTTTGTGCAGCATAGGCATCCCACGTGTGCTCCACAAGCACATTTCTCCTGGGAGATGGGAGGTTGCTTTCCCTTCTTGCTTGGAATTGGACTTCCCAAAGGATAAAACAAAAGGACAGGAGAGGTGTTTTCCATGCATGGACCCTTCAGGGAGGCAAGGCAGGCAGCAGGAATTACGTTTCTATGTTTCCTTGGGACACAGCTGCTCCATGAGCTGCAGAGGAGATGGGACCATCCTTGCTACCTCTCCTGCTGGAGAGGAAAACAGTCAGATGGTTAAGTGAGGAAAACCTTGGTCAGCAATCACTTGGCCCAGCCACACGTGCTGTTCCTCTGTTCCCCAGGTGTCACAGGCCATTGGGAACTGCTCCACCAGTTTTAGAATGCACAGTTGCTTCCACAGTGGGAGAGATCTCTAAATTAGAGAATCACCATCTGGCATTCCTGACAAACACTGAGCATCTGAACAGAATACACACTGCTACTGTCCAGGAACCACAGACAATACCAAGAGCAGCCTGTCTGGGAAGTTTGGCACAGGCTGCCAAATTCTATTCTCAGTCACACCAGAATAAAGCCAGAACGACCCATGTCTTTGACAGAGTTGTTCTTAATTAGTACCACTACATCTGAGAACAAATTTGGGGCCCAAGTCTCCAGCATGACAGATTGGCAGGATTATTTGACAGTGCATCTCAAGAACAGAAAATGCACTGGTAGTAGAGCTCTGTTGTGTTTTACTGTTCATGATATGGCCTCGTGGTTCCAGGCCACCTTCTCTTGCCTCTGCCAGTGCCATTGTTACTGCTCAGTTTGTTTTCCAGCTAAACACCCAGACAGGCAAATAGGTTTGGCTCTGGATTCCCAGCAGAATCCTCAGTCCAAAGGCCAGATGCTGTTTCTCAGGCTCACCTGTGAACACCCTAAAAGACCTGGAAGGAATAATTCAATCTGCTGCCTTTGCAGCCTTAACATCCGCTTGCAGTGGGAATGTGCTGGCTTTGGTGTTGGTCACACCTGCCTGTCTGAGGGAGCTCTTCTTTCTCACAGGATTCCAAGGCTGCAAGAGCTTTTTTCAATTTTCTCTATAGTCAAAATAGTGCATTTTTTGGCCTTTCTTCATTCTTGGAGACAGTTGAATCATTTTAACGGCGCCTTTCCAAAAGGAGCAGATAACATTGTGAGAATATTTGGCTCATAGAGCTGAAATTCTTAAACTTTCAAGCAATTGAGAATGGAATTTGATGGTAGATAATGTCAAATAGTCTATCTTACAACAATTGCTACTCACTCCATGTGTAACAAACAAAATTGAAAGCAGAGCAGGAATGGAAGCCAGCCATTAGGTTCTCCTAATAGTTTTCCATTGAGTTGCTGCTGTGGTGCACGCTGTGTGTGTGATGTAGCACACACTGACAATGATGGGAGATGGTGAGAGGGAGTAGATCTGGCTCAGGATTTCATTTCCAGTTTCAAAGCTCAGCTGTACCTCACCTAGACCAGCAGGCAGTGATGCTGGCCTCTGGTAGTGTTGGTAACTTGCCCATTAAGGAGGTGCACAGTAAATTTTCCTGCTCGTTGATGAGTTATTAATCTTACCATGGTCTGTCTCTTGGTATTCAGGTCTTTCAGCAAGAAAGAAAGAAGCCACTCAGAGAAAATGGCGTTCACCAGTTACTATCCCCATCCCCTCCGCAGCACAGAGCTTGTCGCCGGGCCTGCCACGCTGGTTGAGAGTCACAAGCTCTCAGAACTTTCCAGGCCAGATAGCAGGACTTCTGCATTTTTCCCAGCCCCAACAGAGGCAAGGAGTCACTATCCTGAGCAAAAACAAGGCTTTAAACCCTTGTTCCTTAACCTTACTCCTTCTGGGCCTGGCCACTCTTCCCCTAACACACCCGGCCAGGCTCCCGCAGACTTGCAGAGCACAGGTGGCAGCCAGGCTCCGAGACAGCACCATGCCAAACGAGAGGCTGCTCCCCCTGAGGGCAGCGGGAGCACTCAGGCACAGCCTCTGGATGCTGCCCAGGACAGATCCCCCGAGACTGCCACGGAGGAGATGCTGTGGAGGAGGAAAGCGGGGCTGCTGCACAGGTCCCT